GCACTGTTTTGGTAATTAGGGTTTTATGTTTTACATCGTGTTTAGGATTGGAGCCGACATATAGTCGGTTTAGGATTTAATTTAGGGTTTGGTTTAGGATTTAAATTAGGGTTTCAACTTAAGCCTATAAATACATAAGTATACGTCTGCTAAGGTTTCCTGTAAACCATATTCACTATATTCACGTACATAAGGATACAGAGAGAACTTTAAGAGAATAATGTAGGGAATCAAGGAGGAGTTCTGGATTTAACTAGGAGTGGCAGAGGTTGATAACAACTATTAACATTGCCGAAGTTGCTAGAGACAACAGTTTTGGATTTTCAGTCGGAAATCAGAGGCAAGTTTCTGTTCTGCTCTATCTCTTTAATCTGTGTTCTGTGCATGCCTGGGAGGACTTCAGGGACTTAATAAAGGCTAAAACAATTGTAAACAAACATAATATCATGGATTTATGCATATAAGAATCTGGTTTAAATACTCGTAAGATAATTGTTTTGCCTATTTCTGCTTCTCTGTTAATCTGTTTTTCTATAGTTGTGATTCAGGTTGTTGTAAACTAAGGTTGTAAATTATATGTGGGATGCTTTGTAACTAATCTAGGAGTGAGTTTAAAGCCTGGAACAAGATCTTAAAACAGTTTTGCTTTTTACAAAATAAATCTGTTGTAAGTTGCTTAAGGCTGCTATTTGAACGTTCTGTAATTGTGGCTTCCAAACTTGAGTCTAGTTCAAATCATGGTTGCATATCAGTGGGTTAGGATTAATCTATAACTTTGATTGGACCCTAGAACAACTGATTAAAACATTCCAGAGGCTCTGTTAGTTACCGGAGTCGAAGAAGATGAAGCAAGGACAGATGACGGTGTCCAAAGGAGCAAGAGCAGGCTCCAGAAAACCTAGGAGCCGCCTCTAAGCCTTTGGAGCCAGCTCCTAAAGGATTGGAGCCAGCTCCTGGCTGTTTTGGAGCTGGCTCCAATAGTCCAAAGCCGGCTCTTGAGGCAATTTGAGCAGTGCTCTCACCCGGATGCGCTCAGTTTTGGTTTAGTGCACTGTTTGGCTGCATGGGGTGTTTTAAATGGTTTGAATTGAATTAATGGATGGATACAAGTGTTGTAGATCCATTAAACAATAGAGAAACATAAATTCATAATTTAATTAAGGATTGGACAATGCACAGTTAGGCAAGGAATTTACCGGTTGCACCTTGAATATTAAACTGTTTACACTAGAGAATTTAGAGGATCGTTTATATATGATTTAATTAGGATTAAACATATATAAATAGGATTATAAGTAACATTAATTACTTAAATTTAACTGAATTTGTGTTGAATCAAGTTAATTTTCACCTTGTTATTCAACTACGGCAGATACGGACAACTTGGAGGATGTGAATGCTTATACTTATTTTGCAGATTACATTATTGGAATATTGATTTTGTTTAGGCTCTATAATGAATGCTTATTATTGATAGATATGTATCAAATTATAATGATACATATTTTGGATGATGGATGTTGATTATATAGTGCGGTTCAATTAACTACGCAGTTTGGAGGAGTTAAATGCTCAGTAAATTTTTATCAGCTTAAAGGAATTGGTTTAGGATTTCTAAACTTTATATTGTGTGCATAATTTGATCCTAAACTTGATAGGTTATAATAAATGCTTATTCTGAAGTATAGTTGGTTTGCATCTATTACTGTTTTATCGACTATGTTAATTGGAGGATTGTATGTACCGGTATGGGACGGTGACATACTAGGTATGGATTAGTTCAAGCACTAAATCCTACATAATCTGGAATGAGTTGGATTAACCATAAAAAGGTTAAGTCTTACTTGAATGGATGTGTATGAACAGGTATGGGACGGTGTCATATTAGGGATGGCTTAACTCAAAGCACTAAGACCTACCATTATTGGAATGGATTAGTTCAAAACACTAAGTCCTACCCAAATTTGGATTAAGGTATGAATTAACCATAAATGTTAAGTCCATCACCTACTTGTGTCATGTCAATCAAATAAAGTGAATGACCTACTATGGTTTCAGGATGAATTTGTGCTACATATATCAGACCACTATACAGATGGATGATATTTTGTATTAGGAGTACGGACTTTATATATTTATTTTATGTGCCATGGTATGAGCTTGAGTCTCAAGACCATGGTTAGGGCGTGTATATCGCCTGGGATGGATAACTGGACATAGGTGTTGTTCCCTGGTAGGTCTAGGTAGTCATGCCCACCTTAGGGTGCGTATTTGCATGTTGCCTTCTATTCAGGCTGAGACAGACCTATTGGACTAGCGAGCGTCCTATTAATGTGCACTATATACATATATGGACTACTTTAGATATGGTTGAGTCTTTCTAGGATGTATCTGCGTATCGGATTACTGTTTGGATTGTAGTAGATCAGGACTTGCATGTGGGCCTGACCCATTCCTTTATTTTTCAGGTGTTCGTCAGTTCTAAGGTTAGAGCTTGGACGTGCAGAGCAGATACAGATATTCATTCCTCCAACTATGTAGGAATCTTCTTTATGTTAGCTGTAGAATTTATTTCTATGATTTAAACTCCTATTTGAGAATTTTATAAGGGGTCCAATAGATGGATTCCCGAGTTGTATAATTACAGAGGTTTTGAAGCTTAGATTTTTATAATTATATTTGGAGGATATTTACTTCTAGTTCCTTTTAGCTTTTAAATTTTTATTTCTTAAATCAATTTTGTATTCCGTGTTCGATTTAAAATACTTTAATTGTTTGATATCCCTCGGGTTTGGGCCTGGGCCTGATCAACCCGTGTCTCGGATCCGAGGGGTATCACATCAAGTAACATTAAAGATACCAAAGACGGATTGGACCAGACCCGACCAGCGAGTGAGGCATCAGATTGAATAGTAGGTCCGAGCCAAAGCAAAAAGGGTACTGCAATGGGCCCAACACCCACGAAAGAAGGATAGGACCGAACAGTTGAACTCAGCCCAAAGCACAACATTAAAAGTTAGGCCCAACATTTGAGGTTCACATAATGAAGTCAGGCCCAAAAGGAAGAAGGCCCTAGAATAAGAGCCCTATACAATAAGTTGGTTAGAATTTTGGTGATGGACTATAAATAGACCATACGAGCAGAGAGAAGGAGAGACTTTTTGGATTTTTTTATTCTGTTGAAGTGTAAGAATTTTAGAGAGAGAAAAATCGAAGAAAGCTCTTGCATCTTCAATTGGCGCCATTTGTGGGAATCGTGGAAGATTGATTCTTGTTTGATCAGCGTCGTGTTGATTCCGATTGATTGATGATGACGAAGCTTAATTTGTAGCAGTTTAGTCCGGATCTAAGAGATTGCGATTGGCTTCTGAAGAGATTCTGGATTCTTGATCGATTCTAAGAGATTGGCGTTAGGTTTACGCAGCCGTGATCCACTCTATCGCGACTCGATCCGGCAAGCTTAAACGCCGGAACAACTCTAATCTATCGAAAGGAAAGCAAAACTCGGAACATTTGAGTTCAGATCTGCCGTGATTCACATTGGCGAGGCTCCGATCTAGAGTAGAATTTACGATTCATGCCTTTGCTCCGTTCTGGAATGATGATTGGGGGTGAGAACTCCAATACGGTAGAGAATGTCCAGCAGGTGAAGCTTAATGAGTTGATGAGCATGATCGAAGCTCTCAAAAGAGAGAATGCAGAGTTAAGGACTGAAATGCAGCGTCAAGAAGTCCCGGTGATTCAGCGACCGCTCCCGGCTGGAGAATAAGTTGCACATACCGATGCGGCACATCACGGCGAGAAGGTAGGGAACAATCAGACAGATCTTCACCGCGAGGAAGTCCGGCCAAACGATTTACCGCCAAATCCCCGTCATATTGATGATCGTGAAGGATCAACTCACGTGGATCCACGATGTGAACAGATCAGGCGAAACGAAGCCATGACCTTAGATCCACATCAAGAAACGCTCAGCCGAAATGAAGCAATGGAGTTTGATCGTCATAAAGCTATACCTCCATGGCGCAGAGAGTTCGTAGAAGACAGATCATTCGATCCGACCTATCGACCTTCCATGACGACGTTCGACTATCGCGGCTCAGAAAGGAGATCTGTGGATCAGAGAGCAATTGCGGGGTTCCAGAGGGAAAATGAAGCCCTCCGTTCAGCAGCTCGAACTGTTGACTCACCATTCACTAATGAAATTCTGAATCCTCTGAGTCCGAGGAAATTTTCCATGCCCATCTTCATTCTGTTCGACGGAACGACCGATCTGATTGATCATGTGTATCACATCCAGTTGAAAATGGCTCTGAACACTGAGAATGATTCCTTGATGTGCAAGTGTTTCCCTACAAGTCTAGCTGGACCAGCCCTCAATTGGTTTAAGAACCTGCCTAGGGGCTCAGTAGATAGTTTTCGAAGCTTATGTGATCGGTTCATAAGCCAATATAATGGAAATAAGCGTCCGGCAAAGGACATTTCAAGCCTATTCACAATAAAGCAGCATGAGGATGAACGCCTCCAAGCTTTCCTAACCAGGTTTAACCTTATCAAGAGTATGGTAATTGAATGTCACCCTTCTACAGCGGTTCAAGCATTTATACTGGCCATGACTCGTGGCACTCCATTCCATACAAGCTTGGTAGTGAACACGCCGAAGACCATGGATGAACTAAATGAAAGAGCCGATGGATTTGTACGCTTGGAAGAAGAAGAGGCAGCAAACGTTCGGAAAACATCCGTCATATCAACAGAGGACAAAACCAAAGCAAAGATCAGACAAAAGCAGGTTCAGCCACAGCGTTCCTTGTGGAAATCTGAGAAGAGGCCCAGAGAGGAAGAACTGGTTACTCCATTGAAAGTCACCTTAGCAAGGCTGTACCAAGAAAATAAAGACTAACGAATACAGGAACTTAAGGAGACAGGTAGAGATGCTGATAGCCAGAGGGGAGTTTGCAAGTTATATTCAAGGCCCGGCGGCGGAACAGAACTGGCCAATGGAGCACGTGAAGAGGAGTCAGAAGTCGAACCCTTACAATACGCAACCAGTCCGAATAATCAATGCAATTCACGGTCGGCCTGAGCCTACTGAGGAGTCAGACGAACTACTTCGAACACGCCTTCGCCATGCACAGATGAAGAGAATGGTGGGCAGTGTAAACACTCTACACCAACAGAGCTCATCAACACAGATAAAGTTTGACAAAACAGATCTATTGCGTGTTCAGATCCCTCATGAGGACCCGTTGGTCGTTAGTTTGACAGTAGCCGAATGTTTGGTACGTAGAGTTCTGATTGATCCTGAAAGTAGTGCGAACGTCATGCCGAGGGATACCGGCTCGAAATCAAGCCGGACCGGCTTAAATTTACCGGGAATCCTCTACTAGGGTTTGATGGAAAACGAGTGGAACCCATCGGTACGATGGAGTTAGCGGTACGCGGTGCAGAGAGGGTTCTGATGGAGACCTTTGTGGTTGTCGAAATCCATCCCTCGTACAACCTTCTGATGGGTAGAGGATGGATCCACAGAGTTCAAGGTGTTCCTTCCACTTTGCATCAAGTAATGAAATGCCTGGGGCCAGACGGAGCCAAGGTAATCGACATCCATGGAGACCAGGTTGCAGCTAAGGAATGTTATTCAGTAACGCTGAAGCATGCTGGAAAAGGGAAAACACCCATCCGTTCGGCAAGCCCAATATAGCAATTACAGGAACCTCCTCCTTAGCCGAATGGGGAGGAGGAGCCACTGGACTTGACTGACCCGAACGAACAACCAGAGTGGGGGAATGACTTGCTATGGCAGAGAAACATGAGTTAGTTGATTTCTTGTCTCAGAACGCCGATGTATTTGCGTGGAGCCACCTAGACATGCCTGGAATCGATCCTTCTGTATCCTGTCACTCCTTGAACGTAAATTCCAATGCAAGACCTGTAAAGCAGAAGCAGCGAAGGTTTGCTCCAGAGCATAACTAGATCATAGCGGAGGAGGTTGACAGGCTACTTGACGCGGGATTTATAAGAGAAGTGTGTTATCCTGACTGGTTGTCAAATGTTGTTGTTGTGCAGAAGAAGAATGGGAAATGGCGGGTGTGTATCGATTTCACCAATTTAAACAAAGCTTGTCCCAAGGATAGCTTCCCGCTGCCGGAAATTGATCAAATGGTGGATGCTACTACTGGATATGAGCGTTTAACCTTCTTAGATGCTTATTCAGGTTATAATCAGATCCCCATGGACCCTGCTGATGAAGAGAAAACTTCTTTCGTTACCGAGCGCGGGACCTATTGCTACAAAGTTATGATACCCCTCGGATTCGAGACACGGGTTGATCAGGCCCAGGCCCAAATCCGAGGGATATCAGACAATTAATATTTTAAAAACGAACACGGAATACAAAGTGATTAAAGAAATAATATAATGAGCGAAAAGAAACTAAAATAAATCCTCAAATATAAATATTTAAATCTTGACAATCCAAACTCCATAAGTTTACAACTCGGGAATCCATCTCTAGTGGACCCCTAATAAAATCCCAAAATGCATGGAAGTAAAACTGAAGATAAAATCCAAATCTAATATCTGGAAAGAAGTCCTACGTTGTCGGTAGAATAGAAGTCTGTATCTGCTCTGCACAAACAAACTCTAACCTTGGAACTGACGAGTACCTGAAAAATATAAGGGTGGGTCAGACCCACATGCAAGTCCTGATCTACTACAATCCAAATAGGAATCCGATACGCAAATACATACTAGAAAGACTCAACAATATCTAGAGTAGTCCATATATGTATAAGTACACACTATAGGACGCTCACTAGTCCAAAAAGGTCTGTCTCAGCCTGAATAGAGATACCATGTGGTCATGTGTATCTAGACCTACCAGGGAACAACACCCCTATCCAGCTATCCATCCTAGGCAGTATACGTACCCTAACCATGGTCCTGAGACTCAAGCTCATACCATGGCACATATAATAAATATATAAAGTCCGTGTCCTCCTATTGCAAAATATCAACCATCTGAAAAGTGGTTTGATAAATGTAAAGCAAATCCATCCTGAAACCATATTAAGTCATTCAATTATTTGATTGATATGACACAAGTAGGTGATGGACTTAACTCATAGGGTTAATCCATACCTTAATCCAAATTAGGTAGGACTTAGTGTTTGAACTAGTTCATACCTAGTATGTCACCGTCCCATACCGATACATACAGTCCTCCAATTAACAAAGTTGACAAAACAGTATAACTATTTATCAACCACTTCCCAAAATAAGCATAAACACAATTTAACATATGTATAACTAAATTTTGTATCCAATAAAAGATTTACAATCCCAACTACAGTCCATTAAATTGATAAAGCAAGATTATGCAATTTACCTCTCCAACCAGTATCAAAACTGATGCAATGTATAGCAAGTTTTAACATCAGTTAATTCCATCTCAGCAGACATATACTTATACATTTATATGCACATATCCCAGCTGAAACATGGTTCATAATTTAAGACCATGCAGAGAAATAAAAATTGCTAAAACAGTAAGCAATTTTAATTATTTATCCAATCTATCATATATGGGATCACTGTTTAACCATATGTTAATTCCATCCTCCATAATTAAATGTAAGCATGCTTCCCAACATTTTTTTAAGTCTTTAGTAATGAAATACACCATCCAGTAGCCTTTAAACAGTTTTAGAAAAACCCAGTTTAGCCAAACAGAGCATAAAAACTCAATTTTACGTAATGCCAAGAGAAAGAGAAGGCTCTGCAAACAAAAGAGCCTTCTCCATTCAAAAAGAGCCTTCTCCCCTTTTAAAAAGAGCCTTCTCCATTTTAAATTCTACGTAATACCAAGATAAAGAGAAGGCTTTGCAAACAAAAGAGCCTTCTCCATTTAAAAAGAGCCTTCTCCCCTTTTAAAAAGAGCCTTCTCCATTTTAAATTCTACGTAATACCAAGAGAAAGAGAAGGCTTTGCAAACAAAAGAGCCTTCTCCATTTAAAAAGAGCCTTCTCCCCTTTTAAAAAGAGCCTTCTTCATTTTAAATTTTACGTCTGTTCTTCTGTTATCTTCTCCGACTCCGGTGGTTTCTAGTCATTAAACTTAATTTTATTTCAGGTTTTAAGATCCCCAGGGTTATGCAAACAAGAATGGAATTAAACATTAATTTGTAAAGCAACAACAATCAGCTTTTTTTTAAACTGAACTTGTAAACTATGATAAGCAGATTAAATTCAATGACGTTAGAAACTGTTTCAACATGTATAAATGATGTAATTAAGTCTTACTTTAATTCCTGGAGTATAACTAAGCATGCACAGAACACAAATTCCTGGGAAAGAGAAGATCAGAAACTTGCCTTGAGACTTTGGTTTAAAAACCCCCAACTGTTGTCTCTATCTTCTTTGGCTACCTTGGTTGTATCAAACAGCCTCTGCTGCTCCTAATTCAGTCCCAAACTCCTCCTTGAATCACTCAAGTTCACTATGTATTTCCTCTCAATCTTTCTATCTGTTTTCTCTCTATCACACTGTATACGTGATTATGGTGAATATGGTTTTTATTTGTAACCCTAAATCAACGTATAAACAATATATATATAGACTCTACAGAAACCCTAAGTCCATACAGATATCACTCGGCCCATAGGTAATCCTAGGTTATAACAATGTTGGCTATGATAAAACCTAAAACCCTAAGTTACAATTAATGCATTTAAAACACATTAAACCAATTAACATAAATAAATAAATAAACAATTAAAACAATTAAATTAAAACTAAAAATAAAACATTTAATTCAAATAAAATCAACTAATACCAATTAAATTAAACAATATCAAGTAGTTCAAATAAATTCAGATAAAATCAAATAATACACCAATTAATGAAAATACACACTTAAACAATTTTTAAAATGTAATAAAATAATTAATAAAAATATCAGAATTATCCTTTTGAATTTAGGGGTATTACAAAAGTCATGCCATTCGAACTGAAAACGCCGTAGCAACTTACCAAAGGCTTATTAGCAAAATTTTCAAGAGACAAATAGGGAAGACCGTGGAAGCTTACATTGATGACATGGTAGTAAAAGTAAGAAGAAAGCTGACCATCTGAAACATCTACATGACGTATTTAATGTGTTGAGGCACTACGGAATGAAACTCAATCCAACCAAATGCTCATTCGGCGTGAGTTCTGGTCAATTCCTAGGACACGTAGTTAATCATTGAGGCATAGAAGCTAGCCCAGCCCAAGTAGAAGCTCTGACTGAGAATGCCGAGCCGACAACAGTCAAGGAAGTGTAAACACTTACGGGACGGATCGCAGCATTGAGTCGATTCATTTCAAAACTGTCAGACCGTTGCAAACCATTCTTTGACACAATACGAAGCCAAGGAAGACAAGTTTAGGGGGATGAACAGCGCAAAGCATTAACAAGTTTGAAGGAATATATGCAAAACCTTTCGATCCTGTCAGCTCCAGAACCAGGAGAAAAGTTATTTCTATACCTCGGGGTATCCAGCATCGCGACAAGTGGCGTTCTGATCCGTTGTCCAGAAGGGAAGCAATATCCAGTGTTTTATGTTAGCAAAACGATGACTGAGGCCGAACGACGTTATTCAAAGGCCGAGCGAGTGATACTCTCGCTAGTGCATGCGAAAAGAAAGCTCAGGCATTATTTTGAATCCCATCCTATCATCGTTCTAACCACCTTCCCTATCAGAATAATCCTGCACAAGCCAGACCTCTCAGGAAGAATGACGAAGTGGGCCATAGAGTTAAGCTCATTTGACATAACATATGAACCCAGAACGGCAATCAAAGGGCAAGCAGTGGCAGATTTTCTACTGGAATGTGATTCAGAAGACATAGAGGAAGACCTTCGAGGTTGCTTGTGGAGACTCTTCGTCGATGGATCCTCAAATCAGATGGTGGCAGGCATTAGGATCAAATTGCAGACACCAGAAGGTACGTCCTTGAGTCAAGCGCTCCGGCTTGAATTCAAAGCCACCGACAATGAAGCGGAGTATGAAGCACTGCTGGCAGGACTTAAGCTTGCAAAGGAGTTGAAGGTCAGGAATTTAATTGTCTTTAGTGACTCGCAATTAGTTGTTCGGCAGGTGAATGGCGAGTATGAAACCAAAGATAAAACAATGGAGGCCTATCATTCTGCTGTTGTGCGGGAGGCCAAAAACTTTCAAAAAATTGAATTCATCCAAATACCGAGAGAGCATAACGAAGATGCCGATTGGCTAGCGTATAGTGCCTCGGGTTCTGGAGAAACATTGGCCAGGGTAATTCCAGTGGGAATATTAAACCAGCCATCCATTTTTGCAGAACCTTCGGATCCAGATCCTTGGCAAGTAAAT